GTCGATCACCAGGAGAAAGAGAAAGGGTGAGAGTAAGCAACCATGCCTGACACCGGTCTTTATTTCGAACGACTTTGTCAACTGTCCTCCATGCACGATTTTGCAGTGTAACCCATCATATGAATTCTGTATGATAGTGACTATCTTCTGAGGCACGCCGTAGTGTCGAAGATGTTTCCATAGTGTTGTTCTGTCCACACTGTCAAATGCTTTCTCATAGTCAATAAAGTTGATGTAGAGTGATGAATTCCATTCAATTGATTGTTCCAAAATGATCCGTAGCGTTGCGATTTGGTCGGTAGACGATCTATCCTTACGGAATCCTGCCTGTTGGTCTCGAAGTTGGGTGTCTACGCAGTCCTTCATCCTGTTTAACAATACCCTGTTGAAGACTTTTCCCGGTATTGAGAGAAGAGTGATGCCTCTGTAGTTATCACACTTGCTGAGATTGCCTTTCTTCGGTATTTTGATTGGAAGTCCTTCTTTCTAGTCTGTTGGTACTTGTTCCTCATCCCAAATCTTATTGAAGAGAATGTGGAGTATCCTTGCAGTTGCCGCTACGTCTGCTTTTAGTGCCTCTGCTGGGATGTTGTCCGGTCCTGCTGCTTTGCCACTCTTGATTTGTCTTATGGCCATGCTGATCTCTTCAATTGTTGGTGGGCCAACATTGATTGGGAGGTCCGTGGGTGCTGCTTCCATGTTGGGTGGGTTCAGTGGCGCTGGTCGATTCAAGAGTTCTTTGAAGTGTTCTATCCACCTGTTTTGTTGCTCTTCGATGTGGGTGATTACCTTGCCTTCCTTGCTTTTCACTGGTCGTTCTGGTTTGCGGCGATTTCCAGAGAGTTTCTTTGTCGTGTCATACAATTGTCTCATGTTTCCTTCTCTTGAAGCCTTTTCCGCCTTCGTTGCTAAATCTTCCACATATTTACGTTTGTCGGTTCTGATGCTCCTCTTCACTTGCTTGTTTATTTCCGTGTATTCAGCTTGTGCCTTGGCTTTTTCTGCTCTTGTTCGGCTGGTATTGATCGCTGCCTTCTTGTTTCTTCTTTCTTGAATCTTATCCAGTGTATCAACAGTGATCCATTCCTTGTGATGGTGCTTCTTGTGACCCAGGACCTCATGACATGTTGAAGTGATTGCCTCTTTGATCCCCTTCCAGTTGCTCTCCACAGTAGTTCCTTCTCCATTGAGTAGATCATGAAAGGCCTGGAACTTGTTGCTGAGGTCTATCTTGAATTTGTTGAGTTTGTTAGTATCCTGAAGAAAGGCCGTATTGAACTTTTGTGATACTGTCTGCCCCGTTGTCCAGTGCTTCTCGAGTTTCAATTTCATCTTGTCGACCAACAAGTGATGATCTGATGCTATATCAGCTCCTCTCTTGGTTCTCACGTCTTCCGTCGTCCTCCTGAACGTTTTGTTGATGCAAATATGGTCGATTTGGTTTTGTGTAGAGTGATCCGGTGAAGTCCATGTGGTTTTGTGTATGCGTTTATGTGGGAATACGGTGCCGCCTATGACCAGCTTATTGAAGGCACATAGATTTGCAAATCTCTCACCATTTTCGTTCCTTTCTCCCAGTCCGTGTCGTCCCATGATGTCTTCATATCCAGTGTTGTCCGTTCCAACCTTGGCGTTGAAATCTCCCATCAGAATGGTCAGGTCCTTTGTTTGGCACTTCTCGACGATTGACTGCAGCCTATTGTAGAATTGATCTTTAGCGTCTTCATTGTAGTCGTTGGTAGGCGCATAGCATTGGATGATGTTCATTGAAATGCCCTCTTTCTTTGTTTTGAAGGAGGCTTTGATGATCCTTGGTCCATGAGATTCCCATCCTATAAGTGCATTTTTCGCTTGTTTGGACAGCATCAATGCAACTCCTTGTGTATGTGGTGCATTTTCTTCTTCATGGCCAGAGTATAACAGGAGCTCTCCTGAAGTTAGTCGTTGTTGTCCAACTTGTGTCCAATGTGTTTCACTGATCCCAAGTACCTCTAGGTTGTATCTTCTCATTTCTGCAGCAATTTGAAAGGCTCTTCCGGTGTCGCACATTGTACGAACATTCCATGTACCTAAATAAATGGTTGCTCTGGTTGTCAGAAGGGGCATCGGCCTCGTAACTTCCGAAGGAATTCGGCTTTCATCATGAGGCGTCATAATTCTTCTAAATGAAGACCTTCTGACTCCCAGAGCAGAGTTTAAGTGGTTTGAATTACTTTACCCCATGCCCAACCCTCCTCCTTTATCCGGGCTTGGGACCGGCAGTAGCCCTCGGAGGGACTCCAGGCGGAGTTCTACTAAGGTGCAGACATAATTTTCTTAAATCGTTGTTCCAGTAGTCAGTTACATAAAAACCACCTCTAGTCTTGAACCAGCTTTTAGTTTCACAGCTTTGTCTAGTGTCTTATTATTTATATATTCTGACTTGATTTTGTTTTGATTACTTTTGTTTACTTGAACAGAACAAAAGTGAATCCTCAAAATTCAACCGAAGGAAAAATTGTACTCCGAAAACACCCAAAGATGGTTCTTTCAGCTGCTTCCTACCTCTCCTACTATCAACCATATCCCAACGCTCGTATTTCAATTTCGTCTTCTGAATATTTAGTTCCATGCAAAGTGAGCCAATTAACAAATGTTCAAGGGAAATATCATAGAATGAACAGGGAAACCTTTAAATTCGTTTTGTGTGAAATAAATACTGAGTAAATAAAGAACACTGGGAATAAATATAAAAGCATCCTAACTGAATAGTGCAAATAATGCTTCAGAAAAATGTGTCATGGAATAACTACATTTTAAAGATCAAAAATAAGTACGGCTGTTGTTGAACTTGCAGTACTAATATTTGTTGATACACTTAGAGCGAGATCGATTCTTCGTGAAGTGCGTATTTCATCACAAATTACTTTACCTGTCATGCTTTGTGTTGAATTCTGAATTCGTTTCGGTGAGTAAATCCCAAAATCAATAGCTCTGTAATTCTTCGACAACGGATGCTGACTACATTAGTTTTGATAGACTTACATAACTGAAGGTGCTCGGTCATGCATCCGCACCAGATCACAAGCGTCAACTCCGTGTTTAACTTCTGCAATCGCTAGTCATTTTATACCAGTAATTCTTAATATATCGACGGCCTATCAAAGATCTCCGAAACTCTTTGTTCCTGATTTCTGATTTCACCGGGTCGGCAAGTTTCGATTACAGGAGGTGTCACTAGTTAAAGTGTTGTCGAGTTCCAAATACTTGTGGTGTCATCAAATTCTATCGGATTTCGCGACCGGATGATTTCAACGTTCTTAATCTCTTAACCTTTTCTAACGTCTAATAAAATGTTACAGAAATTGAAGATTTAATTAACGAGTTAAGCTTGTTTGGAAACTTGACATAATGTACACTGTGGTTACGAAAAAAGGCGTGGCGAATAGTCTGAATTGCATTTTCTGTAACAAAGTGATCGAATTTGTCTATTGGATAGTCCATTATTTTTCATTGTCGCGTAAATAAGTACGAAAATAAAATGAGTCAGATAAGAGTGCATTTTTCTGGGTATCTTTCATACGTTCATTAATGAACACAGACAATAAGAACTGTGAGACAAGGAAGGCATACCTCTCCTCTCAATGAATGATGGGCGAGTCAGTCTACACATATAACGAACTATGTATAAATCAATGACAAACAATTGGAGTGTGGATGACAAGCACATAAGGCAAACACACTTTAACAAGTACTAGATATGAGCAACAATGTCGTTGATGACAAACTACGTAAGAAAATCACAAAATTCCTGAGTACGTTAAAATGATATATTTAGGGACCAAATCAAAATAGACTACATGGGTACATAACATGGAATTGTTTCAATCCCATGCACTTGATTAAAGTGGCCTTTCATTTTTACAAATCAGTAGCCACATGACTGAGCTGCTCATAGAGTGGAACATGTTGTGTGAAAACTTCCGTATCCTATTGGAGTTGAACCCTAAAGGACACTGAGCGAATACAAAGTTGTCGAAGCGAGATCTTCCTTCCAGTCTGTCGACTGACGCACATCTCGTAGCTGGTCTTATGTTGAATCCTCAAGATTGCTCTCTTGCTCAAAGTTTATTATCGGGAAACTCATCTGGATCACTAAACTACTAAGCTCCTCCATATCCTGCTCGGTATAAGATTTGAAGAGATATAAGGTTTGAATGAGATCTTTCCTGTACAAAAAGATTTGACTGTGACATTGGACGGTACACAAAGATATAAAGGTGCCACAGGTGTTCAGAGTTTGAAAGTGCCTTTACCAGTAACACTTTTATGATCGAAATATGCCAACCAAGTCTAATTAGATGTCACAAATGGAAAAGATCGCAGATATGTTTCGAAGGCTATCTATATGTCAAAAAGCGTTTAGTCTGAGTTGCTTAACAGTCGCAAGGGACGCGAAGCACTGCGTACTCTCCTGTGACCTGGTCCGGGCGCGTTATCGAGTACCTTCAACTAGGTGTGTCCAGTAAAACTAATGAGGCGAGCATCAGTGTCAAAGACTTTCAGAACTATTTGTTTTGAATATTTACTCACCGATATAGATACCTTCACATTCACATTAATATTAAGCAGAGTACCAGTGGCAAAATATGGTCACATGTTTTTTACCTGTGCATCCTGGGGGGTTAGAGGACGACATAATGTAAACGGTATAATTTAGACATCTCTTTCCACCTACATTATTCAGTTAACGAAACATTTTCAATCTCAATATCTTTTTTCAAAACGGGACCTTTTGTGGAATCTTTCAAGAAGCCTGTACGTTTAATTTAGTCCCATCGGTACATAAAGTGATTAATTCAAGCATTACACCAGGATCAATTCTACTACTTTCAGCATACTTGTTTTGCTCTGCGTTTTCAGGTGAAGCATAACAAACATCATTCATTTACATAGTCGAAGACGCTCTCTTGCCATCAAGACATAAATTTCAGGAGACAATAGTCTGCTGAGTCTGTTCAGGGAAGTTTGAAGTTTGAATCTATGATCTCAGATGTTGTTTGACCCTTCAAGGTTGTCCTTAGTATTTATGGTTATTTAAACGTTTTGTCACATGGTCCTACTCAGTTCGTTGCACTAACAGGTTGGTCATTCTTTCAGTTAACTTCCTTATATGTGCTTCATGTCAATACACTTAATTGTGCTCTATATTCTACACATATTAGTGTACAACTTGGAGATCGAAGTAACAAGTTCCCACTTGTATTGTAAATCTGAGGATCCGGCTTTAGAATGTTGTGTTAATCTTTGTTTGGTGTCTTAATATATGTCATAGGTAATTACCACTAAATGTAGGTGATTATATAGATACACACCAACTATATATTTACTAGCTGTTACAATATATATACATTTTCTTATCATGCACCGAGATATATCACTTGAGAGCCATCAAAATTTTGATAGTATTTAAAGTAATACCAATCAAATGTTTCGTGTTCAAAATTCCATTCTAAATGAAATATGGAGCGTGTGATTTTCCATCTTTACGGTTATTATATTGTGCTTAAATATATATTTAAGCTCAATGTAAGTTAATATTTACAGTTGATTATGTTTACAAAGCATTGCCAATTAGTCCTCTGTCTAGTCATATTGTCACGTTTTACAATTTTTACACATAGATTAATAATTTTTTAAGACTTTTAAGGCCTATAATTCTACTTAAAGTACTTAATTAACCTTACAAATTCAGATTTCTGTAGTATATAACCTGTTTAACAGGTTATTCGTTTCCACAAATGTCATTATGGTCTGTTTGACTATTCTTTCCAATATTTTAACTCCAACACTGATAAGGCTTACAGGTCGGCAGTTCCATGGAAGTTGTCTTGGTCCTGTTTTATGTATGAAAGTGACGATTACGACCTTGCAGTCCATAGGTAACACACCTTGGCCAAGTGACATAATGAATATTACCGTCAGTGGGGCTGCGACATATAGTGAAATATGTCTCAAGATTGTGGGGTGTAGTTCATCTGGTTCCGTTGAATTTTCCATGTCTAAGGTGCCAAGAGCCTTAAGTACATTGTCTTGATCAAAGTCTCCGGTGAACAAGTGGTTTGTTGACACTGGACAGTCATAATGTTTTTCATTCTGTTGGAACTACAAACGAACTACACGGTACCGAGAAATAACATTATTTGTTTAACTCCAAACCTATTACAATTACATAGGAAGTCAACAACTTAAAAACCGAAATCAGTAACAATACCTATTGTCATTAAAGTTTATCTGATTAAAAAAGTGAAATTTATGATACTACACCTATGATCAAACTCTTTTGCTTTACACAGATCCTCTACGTTCGTTTCATGGTCATGGAGAGATACTGAGTAATGTTTTATATGAAGCGATCTCTTACAAACATATTAGATATATCCATTGCACCATATGTAGCCCAAGCTAAGGTAACCTAAGTAAGCCTTTCGTATTTGTTCCGAAATTTTGTCAATCACCAATTCACGAGGGCTGGTGAGAATTGTACGGTAGGTAAAGTAATCAACACTTTCCATCAAAAGCCAGCCATAAGGCAACGCTATACTTGGAAGGAGAAGAACGTATCCTAACCAGTCTTGACTTGTTGCTAAGTGTGCTTAGGCGATTCAAGATCTTCCAACAGGGTCATTTGCGTATTCCAAATAAGCGAGAAGTCGGTTCATTACTAATCAATCTGTGAACACATCGCCTCTGGCAGTATATCTATATCAAGATTAAATATAAATTTCCGTTCGAGTGACGTCCTGTGTACGCTAGTTTCCTTTTGCACCCAAGTTGTCAACTTCATTAGTACTTCACAAATAAATTTCAGTTAATATTGCTTCACGGAACCCTCGTAATTGGGTCAGCGTGTGAATGAATCCAGCTATTTTACACTCGTTTTCGCGAAAGTAATTTTACTTCGATATTGACAAGTGCGTTGCTATTGCTTCAGTCTGAGGACATGCATATTTCGTGAGGGACTTGTACGTTCAATGGTCTGTGTAGCTGATTTATAGGCAGTTATTTTGTTGATTATAATTTAACTTTAATAATCTCGATGAAAAGCATAATACTCAAAATAGTCCTCAGTTTTTGTCATTTTTAGCCAATGTAAATAACTGTTTCAATGTTTCTTACTACGATTTATATAGGTTAATTATATTCACCTTCAACGTTCTTCATATCTACAACGTTAAAACTTCAAATTCGTAACTACGTGTTTTGATTGAATTCTATGTCTGTAGTCAATTTTACATTATCTAGTGATGACCAAGACGGTGTTCCATGCCCAGATTCCATTCCATTGAAAGTTGATGAAATAACAAAAAGTATAGTCGGTCATCTTAAAACTCAGTGCTCAAAAATTCTCTCTGGAAGCTGGTCTGATACAAATAATTTCTGTGTTGAGCTATCGAAGTAAGCTAAGTGTAATCTTGATATATATATTCTATTTTATTTTACCTGGCCGATTTGATGAGGAAGTAAAAATACTTGTCTAATCAAATAGTCTCCTCTAAATATTAGAATATTTTCAGAAGCGCACAAACATCTGTATATTATAATAGTGTTGCTGTCGAGTTCTCTGAGCTAGATGGTTTAATTGCGAAGCTTTCATTGTCGTTCTGGACATTATCGGCTTCGCGATTAAACCTTTCAGCTATGAGAACTGAAAAACAATAACAGCATCCACCTGAGCCGCAAATCTCAATCATTTCAGTGTTTCTACATCCTTGATATTCGATGTTTTGATGATGATTTAACGCTTTCTTGGCATTTATTTATTTGAACACATAAATATTTGTACGAGAGTGCCCCAGATGACTTGGTATGGTCGAGAGCGGGGTGGGTTCGCCCTCCCTCTCCAAATGCTCTCACACGACCAAGCGTATACAGCCTCTGTCAGGAAGGTTCTACTCACTGCCTTCTCGTGGCAGGGGTGTTGTTTATGAAAATAAGAGGACGAAAAGCGAATATCAGGCGCTTTAACCGGATCCCAAACCAAATCAATGGTGCACATGGGTTCCCGTATTTCCATCAAAGTGAGAAGAAATCGGCGTGATTGTATCCGGGCTGCAATCTGTCGGAGCATAGGCGATGACGAAAAGACATCGTTTCTCACGCCGATTTCTTCTCACTTTGATGGAACTTTCTAATCTAACAGCACATAACCGACTGTTAATGGGGATCCAATCGATTAGTGTTGCCTCGGCTCTAGCGCTTAGTGCGACACCAACGCCAGAAAGACCAGACGAAGATGCCACATGGTCCCCGAATAAGCGCACGTAGAACAAGCTTTTTGAAGCGACTGATGGAGAGCGAATATGTAGTACTTCACCAGAGTCTTGAATACGGGTCTCGGACAGACAGCAAACATCGATATTAAGACTTTCCGAAGACATAGCCAGCCCTATCTGTTGTCCGACCTGCATAAGTGTGCGAACGTTGAAGGCAGCCAGTCTGGATGGTGCACGTGGTTTCAGAAAAACTGCTTCAGTACTCATATTCGGTGGTAGCATACAATTTTCAACCAGGCAGTGACTCGAGAACCTTTAGATTGAACCGAGTTCCCACCATAGACGAGCTGCTATGTAAGTCGAGAAAATAAGTATAGACAGAGTAGGAATAAAAGAGAGTGAAAAAATGACGTAGTAAATAATAATAATAATGTGAGTTGTTTGACTGTAAATCGATGCGAGAATAGAATTTTCAGTAAATATCATCATTTTCATTTTAATTGTGTGTGGGCCGTGATACTGCCCGGGTGCCCAGACCGAAGCAGGTGATTATCTTAGGGGGCCACACCCCGGGCCCTTGATCTAAAGGTCTAACCCACAAGGCAGTGGAGCATCGTGAGGAGATGCGGTCCCATGGTCGTCGGTGACCGAAAATTGGTTTATAGGCCATTTGTTCCCTCAGGATACTGGAACCCATGTGCACCATTGATTTGGTTTGGGATCCGGTTAAAGCGCCTGATATTCGCTTTTCGTCCTCTTATTTTCATAAACAACACCCCTGCCACGAGAAGGCAGTGAGTAGAACCTTCCTGACAGAGGCTGTATACGCTTGGTCGTGTGAGAGCATTTGGAGAGGGAGGGCGAACCTACTCCACTCTCGACCATACCAGGGTATTTGGGGGCATGTCAGTTATTCTAACCGTTATCTTTTTATTTCTACATTTAATTTTTCTGCATACTTGAAGAAGTGAAGGAAACCATTCGTTTATTTTAGAGATCCAGAGTCAACTGAATTAGTGGGAATATTTTTCATGAAAAAACTTTAAATTACTCAATGGAAATATGTATAGGGTAAATAAACTAATCTAACATGGATTATCCTCTTGATTAGTGTTTTTTTCACTAGGTTGCATCGCCTTGCAATTCAGAAGCGATGCACCTAGTGAAATGCTAAGACTAAAGTTACACAGATCAATCCAGAGGACTTTTTATTACAGGTAAATTACAATTAATGTTTCCCACATGTTCAACAATCACTTCGAGGTTGAAAGATAAATTGCCTAGACTAGCCACTTCTTTCTGTATTTATCAACTCGACTTCCCCTGTAGAGCGAGTTATATTGGCAGATTTTCTAGTAATTTGTATATTCGGGCTCGTGAGCACCTCTTAGTGTGGTTAAGCAAAGGTGTAGTTAAAACTGTCAACTGCTCCATTTTCAATCATTGAATTCAAACAGGACATACAGCCATCATGGAGCGATCTTTTACAATAATATATCGTGTTAACAGCAGTCTACTTAATTCCTTCAAACTGAGAATCCTTCAGACAGCTGAAACAATCACTATTCGGATAAAACATCTGGAACTTTGTATCCGAAAGAAATATGTCCAGCCGCTCCTTTTACTCTAGCCAACTTCGGGCCCAACTATTTACTAATCGACTTTATGATATGGTGACGTAACTTGATTAGTGTTCATTTTTATATCCTTAGCTTATCCTATCCACACATCTTACCACTGTCATTATTATTATTACTACACTTGCTAACCTTTTTGAGAAATTTATTCAACATCCACCCCTATCTACTATATTTGACCTAATACATATTACGTAATTTTCGATTTGTAATTACATTATTCTCTCTCACCCCATGTTGACCATATTTATTCTGAACATTGATCTCACAATTTCATTTCACTTATACACTGATTCAAGTTAACAGTTCGTATTGGTCATCTCAACATTATAATGCTTGTAAATTAAGGCAATATCGAGGCCATACGCAAATATGCAAATATGCCAATAAGAGACTGATCAATTTCAGTCCTAAACATCAATGTGAAGATTCAAGTACAGCAATACCAAGTGAATTCACGATTTAATTTGATATGATAAACAATTTTTGATACTTTTTTCCTTTGTTGTGGCTTACCTTTAACCTATCTAGTTGACCTTTTAATTTTCATATATAAATTTTGAATTCATCTATTACAATTCTCAATGATGTACTCTGCCGTAAACCTGGCCAATTTTATGGATTATTAATTTGGATATATAATTATAGAACCTGATGAGAAACTATTGAAATGAATATTCTTCGTTCATATAATTGTGTTTTAATATAATGGGAATTTTTCAGCGATTATCATATATCGTATAACTAACTTATAGTCGTACTTTTTTGAATGTGTATTGGAGTTTTCAGTGGTGATCTTAATTTTCTTTACAATTCACTTGTTTAAAGAGGGGGTTATTTCTGTTCTGTTGAGATTTGTGTTTCATTTTGTTGGACAATAATCAGTTCAGTTAGTTGCCAGTATTTTATCAATTTAGTCAGTTCATCATAACAATCATATTTAACCTGATTTCAAAAATAGACTAATTTGTCTACTAAATAAGCTTTATGAAAATTGGCTATTCTGTGTAATTATCTATTTTAGATTATTTCGGAAATTATCATCTTCATAATTTACAGTAGCAATTGTGTATAATATAGGTAATATAATGAAAAAATAGAGTTTATTAGAAACTAAATTTTGGACTATTCGGTTACATATACACTTTCTAATTTATTTATATGTGAAATAGTAAATGTCAAATTAAACAAATAAAAAATAATTAAGTAAAATGATATAGAGCACACCATTCTGAAGTATTAAATTAACATGTTCATGGTAGATTTATTGAAAGTAGAAATTGTTTGTAGACATGAATTGTTCATAATTTATTGCTCTAGTACATAACATAGTTCTAATAAAGTTCGCCTTCTGACTGCATTGTTTAGATTGATTAAAGAAACTAATTGTTCTTAATTGATGTGAAAAATGTATTGACCAATTTGTCAAATGCGTCGTTAACATAATCACATTTGTATTCCATAAAACTATTTAAAATAGATTATTTTCATTTTAGGAGTTGTGGACTAAGCAATTATTTATATATTGGATATTTAAATAATGATATTATTTCTTTGGAAAATGAACCACGTAAAGTACTTATTCGAGTATATGGTGAAGTATTGAGAAGTTGTACAGACTCGATTATCTCCGATTCAGTTAATTTTGCATTACTTTCGGAAAAAAGGATTGGGCCTAAACTTCATGGTGTATTTCCCGGTGGACGAATTGAAGAATTTATTGAGGTAAAATTGACCTAATTGCCTTTTGTTAGTTAAATAATGGTTTCTGTAATGCACTTCTTGGAACTTCCAGATTGATATTTCATTAGAGAAATTGTTTAATGTTTTGCTCTGATGACGTAGGGATTGAATCATAGCTCTATGAATTATAGGAGCTTATTGTTAACTAACGATTTATAACACATTTCAGTCGTTCTTGACCCACGTGCGTAGTGACAAGGGGAGGGTAAGGCTTTCGTAAGAGATTTTATATTCTCCAAAGTGTGCAAAATTATTGTGTATCTCGTCCGTGAATAATAAAGAGTATTATCAATAGCGGGATTTGCAGAAGTTAATGAATTCGTTCTATTTTAAGGGATTTTTATTCTTGATCATTTTACCAAATCCGTTCAATGTACAGTGTATGCTTTATCTAATAAATATTTTCGCATATAATTATTCTTTATCAATATGCTGACATTTTGATGTCATAATTTTATATACCAATAGTTTTCTCTAATCTTTTTGCTGTAACTTTTTCAGTCCAGACCTTTAACTACACAAGAACTCCCACTAATTATTGAAGTAGCAGCACGGCATATGGCTTCTTTCCATAAATTATCCATGCCATTTTCAAAAACCCCATCATTCATAATAAGAATGTTTGATAAATATCTTAGTCAGTTGACAAGCACACCTGAGCATTTACATCGTCCATCTCCAAATTTTTCTTCAAATACTTTATCTGAATTAGAAGCAAAAGGTTTCTCTTTTGCTAATGATGGACATATATTGACGGAACCATCTTACGAAGAAGCTAGAAATATGGTATATGAATTATCTCTCATAGAGGAATATAATTGGATAAAGTAAATATTAATTGTTTTTAAAACGTTCATTTTGTCCCGTACTATCTAAGAACATCTGAAACAAGAAACATCTAGTTGTTTAACTTTTTCCCTGAAGTATTCAGTATAATACTCCTGAAGGTCAACGAGATATAAGATAATGGTAGCAGTAACATTCGTATTTGTTGTCCGTGTGAATGCCCTTTTATACAGTTCACTCGGGCTTATCAAAAACATTCTTGGGCAACGTGTTAATGGAAAGTTAGAAAATAGTCTTATTGTTCATTAAAATCAATGAACTGTCTTCATATAGCCGATGCATGTATGACACATTCATCTTGCGTGAAAAAGACACGTAAATTTTTCAGCGTCATTCATCTTAAAATTAATTTTGAGTTTGGAACAAATAAAGTTGAGTATCCTCCATTTTTTGATATTTTACCATCGAGGAGAATAGATAGTAATATAAGAGGTATAGTTTCCCGTATGAAAAACTCATGGATTGGTCAACGTATCTTTAGCGTCAAATAATGATGTATAAAATATTGGTCTATTGAATCATTATTATCAATTTTTTATCAATCATCAAAAGTTGTTCTTAAGTAAGCAATGCCTTTTGATTCTGTGTTAAAGAATTTCTGGAATTAACTGTTTGTAAAGATGTAACGTCATGGGAAATCAAATGAATTCATTTTATCCACAAATGTTTGTTATTCTCATCGTACAAAAGTTAGTCATGGAAACCAAGTAATTGTAATCAATACACGTTGAGTAGTTATAAACTGGTTTGTTAGCAAGCTTAAATATTTATGTCAATGCTTCCAGCTTTTTTTAATAATAAGCTATGCGATTGTGAGATAGGTCATTTTCGAGGTTTAATATGTGTATATGCTACTAACTTTAATCCTGTTAGGTTGTTGGAGGCTAAGTTTCGTGCTAGCTGGCGCTTGTCGCTAAGGTATACCTGTAATCTTGAAGAAAGTGTTTCACACTGTGGAATTTGAGCCCGCGTCACCCACTGGTCCTACGTTGTAGCTGATTGACTGACTGACACCCACTGTTCTACCTGGGCTTCGACCTATCTTCTGTGGTACTGAAATATTTACAGTTGGTTGGTCATTTGATAGTAACCGGTATCATTTCTATCTATTCCTTTATTGGTAACCGAGTCCTATTGTTCAAGTTGCATTGTAACCACTAGTTTTATCAACTTAAATTGCATACATTATGCTTTAGTCCTACGTGGTCTATGTTATAGTGTGATAGATTGTGTAAATATGTATGCCATTTTTCCGCAAGTTTGTTATCTCTAAAACAAGTGTTTCACCCAATGATCAGTAATGTGTTTATTTTACTTTTTTTCTCGTTATCGTCAATTCGTGATTATTTAGAGAAAAATTTGAAGTTCATTATGCTGAAGTATTCCCAATTGTATTTTGCCATAATGATTTCCAAGAAAGTAAGTTTATGATTTTCTTATGTTTTTAATCATCGTATGGATTGTATTTAAAAATAATGATAATAATAATGTTTTCCTACCATACCGCGTTAGACTATACACCATTTGGTGGATTCAACTCATAATTATTAAGTCAATTTTGTATTCAACTGTGTATCATGTGAAACTATAACTTTCACAGTTGTTTAGAATTACTAATCGATAAACCACCACTCACTTAAAAGCGTTTACTTATTTTACAGAATTGTATTGCTATTTTTAGTTTAGCAAATTGTTTAGTCAATTAAGTTTAGTCTGTAAATAAGTTTTAAGTCTGTGTTAAATGTGTTGTGGAAATTGGAAATGTTTTTACTTTTTCAACGTTACTATACAAACAAAGATGGATAGTGGCTAGCAGTGGAATCCAGGGCACGCGTTTCGTCCTGTTTGGGACTCGTCAGCTGGATGTACCTGTATCTCAGAGTTGATGTTCACTCTGGGACTCGAACTCAGTACCGTTCGCTTCAAACGCCATCGCGTTATCCACTTAGCTACTGAGTCCTGATAGCCACTTGCTTGTGCAATGGGTTGAAGTTTAATTCACTTGTTTTACTTAAATCTACCCATTGATGTTTTAGGACTGAAAGATAATATTCAATTAGTTTAGTCTTCTGATGAATTTAGTAAAGCAGTTGCAAATCCCATGTGTGTATTAGGGATGATATTTTTAAGGATCATCTAGTCACTACAACAATTATTATATGATAACTCAGAATGACCATCTTGTACTAATCACTCACAGGTACATATCGAGGTAAAGAATAAATCAAGCCAAGACATACTTATTTATCTGTATTTGTGTGCATTCTCAACCATCGCCTACCTCGACGTGGTATGTTTGTTGATGTAGTGGTTGTTTGGGTGGGGAATCAAACCAGAATGTGGGATCAATTAACTGTGTCATCGACTATTAGACTGAAGCACGTTTGATAATTTCAAATTATCTGGTAATGGTCCACGTGCTTATCGTGACCAATCGTTGGAAATGGCTGATAAGGGTTCGGATTTGTCACAGTGGTACAGATGTATTCACTCTTTATCTTCGCTTAAAACTTGAGCTTTAGATTTATCTTGTATTTTTTATTCCATAAATTCATTCTTAAATCACATTGTATATACCTAACATTTTCTACTATTACTAATACTGTTACTAGTTGTACTGCCTTGGAATGTGTCTAGATAATCTGATCTCGCTTTGTTCATGTGGTGTGGTGACAACTTGGACCGGACTCATTTATGTTCTAGGATCCATGTTACTAGTGACTAACTGACTTATATCTTACGGAACTAGTTACCTAAATCATTCATCAAAGGATATCTGATATGTTAAAGACAGCACCTTCCAGTCTAGCTCCGTAAAGGATAACGTAGACTGACCAGATTATATATATGTATTTGACTATAACCACGTAGCTTTGGTTCGTCATCCGATATTGTATGTGAATAAAGTTTAATTTAGTGAAGTGGTGTTTTTGTGAATATTTCCGTCTCCAGGTTTGATGACTTCACTAATATTGTTTTATTTAAATTCTTTTGGTTGTATTGTATCTTCTAAACTTATTTCGACACAAGGTCAGTGTTCTTGTTCTCTTGAGTAAATCACAAGTTTTATAATTCAAGTTGGTTTATATTTTTCTTTTTGTAGAAATTTCATTATGTAACTCTTCTTCAAGTTACTGCATTTTTGTGTATATTCGTCTGCTATCTTTATGAATTCGTTATCTGAATAAGTAATTCTCTTCCGGAAATTTTTATTTCGAACACACGAAAGCTTAATTATTTTGATATAGCTTCTAAAAGAACGTCTTTTACGTGCTGATCACTAGTTAAATCAAATGGATGCTTCTTTTCAGGCGTTAATTAGATAGTATTCTATATGAATAAATTTTATTCAGACTATTCCAACAGTTTGTTATTTAATCTTCAAGAATATTTTTAAATTAGTTACAATGTTTCTTTGATTGCATTAAAATTAATTATACAGACATTGCATTTTTGAATTTTAAAGCATTATGTGTCATCTTATCAAATTTCTTTGTGAAGATGAATTTCACCGTTCCTTAGGATTTAATACGTCTCACTTGCAGTATATGATGCTAAAATATATGAGTTTCTCGTGAGTTTATTCAACTCACGTTCAGGCTAAAACAATCAGGATTGACCTAGACATTGTTATTTTGGGGCTAGTGATACTGTCCAGTTGTCTAAACCAAACTTGATGAGGTAGAGTTCGAACATGCAATTTTATAGTGAGGATTTTGTTGAAATCACAAACCAGTATCAATTAAACAACCACTGAATTCTAGGAAGCACTGGACATGTGTTTTATTTTAGCGTGGAGCTCGTTAGCAGTGTGCACCCACGACCTTACCAGCGGCGATCAAACCTAGGGCATTTGGTTTCGTATGCGAACGCTTAACCTTTAAGTCAATGGGCCGGTATCCGATGTCGTAAGAGTCTAACTTCAATCGATGCACAATATTATTGAACATCTTCTGTTGTTTGCATTGCGTACCTTATTTATGCTCCGTACAGTCGAGCTCCACTGATGAGATATGTCGAATTCAGCGGCGGAAATTGTAAATAATTTGCAAATATTAAAAATAGCAACCACAAACATCCATATTCTTTTTTCTATGAGTTGTGATTTACATGAGTTAACTACGTCACAAACACAGAACCTAAAAAAGCTAACAACACTACTGAATTTTGTTGATCAAAGTAAGACTAACAAAAACATCTAATCCAACTACGCTACTATTTTAGTGTCACGAGATTAGATGGAAAAAAGTTTATCCAAAAATTTGGCGTTAAACCATTTAGATTTATGTTTCACCATTATTGTAATGTAGTTCATATATATATAATCCCTTTGTCTGTATGTGGGGTGTGTGAACAACAACTGCGTGACTTCATCGTAAAACATAACTTATAATACAGCTATAAATCTCATCTGAGTTAAGCTGTATTTCTTGTTATTACCGTTTATACCTTGTGGTATTTTCTAGAAATCTTGCTTTTCTGAGAGGAATTATTTTTTTGAATCATATTTGTTATTGTTTTGTCTTGCTTGTTTTTCTCGCTTCCTTCCTCTAAGTGTTACATTGCAAATTTTAGTAATCTTACTGTTTTACATGCTAAAACTTCTCACATTAATAAATAGCCCATCAGTTTTTATGTTTAACATTTCATTATTTTAAATGAAAGATGTAGTACCTAAAGGTATTCATTTTTACCGAAAAGTTAACTGTAATGTGAGGGGATTCAGAAACCTAGTACGATAACACAAGGCTCCTACAATAGTAGTACCGATTAGGTATTCGTGCCGCAACTGACCTTTAATTATAAATGTGTTACTGGTAGTAAATAATGCTAACTAGACCAGTGACCGTACTGCAATCTGATTGACAGAAGTCAGTCTGCACTGAGGGACTGGGCGAACATGATGTTGACCACTACTATTTAGCTGTCAATTAATTGTGTCTCAGTTCTACAGAAAGTTACTCGTAATTCAACTGTCTGAGTAGTAACGTCTCAGGTTGTGAATCTGGACGACAGGAGTTCGAATCCCACTGGTTGCATCAGTCGTCTCTAAACTACAAGCACCCCTTGTTGTCGAGTACCAACTAAAACGAAACGTAGGCCGAGCAGGATTTCCTTTTGGATACTTTACAACACCTAACTGTTCATGTAATTCATTTACTACGTATATCTTTGACTACTCAGCTTTAAGAGTCACACTGTTGTGTAAAAATTCAAGTGATAAAGCCCAGATCCCTAAACCCATGGTTATGCGAGGTTTGAACCTGGTACCTATAGTTTTAAAGCTGATGGTTTAAGCAATAAGCCACTTCTCTACTGGCAGTGGCGTTTCATTTGCTAAAATGAATTTCAATAATCCTTTCACATATAAAGTGTGGAAAAAATATGGAACAGTTATTGCCAAATAAAAAATTGTGTTTTTATTCTTTCAAAGTGAAAATGCTTGATAACATGTCCCATAGAACATTGTTCCGTCTTATTTAAGTCATCGTATTCTCTAGTGAAATAATATTTGTAAGTTGTTTGTCAGCTATTATTTTCTCTACAATCTTGTTTCTTATCTGACTCCTTTTTATCCGTAAAATTCGCGAAACTCATTTCATTTCGCCACAAGTTAAAGTTAATGTCTTTTTCCTCTCTCTTTATAAACTCTTTTTACCTTCCTATCATCTAATAAATCTAACCGCTCATAAGCATTAAATTTTGCATTGTTTTGTTCATATCAGTGATCAAACATACTTTCTTCTTTATTTGGCTTCGAAGCCCACTTTTTTTTCCGTATCGTCTAGTTGTAAATATAAGGTAGTCTAATCCAGTGTAGATTAATTGAAGCACAATCCAAGTCATGTAAGTAAGCTCTATTCCTTCACATTAATTATCACAACTATCTTCACTCCGAGAACGGAGTGGGTTCGCCCTCCTTCTCGAAATACTCTCACACGGCCACGTGTATGCAGCCTCTGCCAGGGAAATCCTACCCACTGCCTTCTCGTGGCGGGGGTGTTGTTTACGAAAATGAGAGGACGAAAAGCGAATATCAGGCGCTTTAACCGGATCCCAAACCAAATCAATGGTACACATGGGCTCCAGTATTCTGAGGGAACAAATGGCGTATGAACCAATTCCCTGGTCAGCGGCTACCATGGGACCGCATCTCCTCACGATGCTCCACTACCTTGTGGGTTAGACTTTTAGGTCAAAGGCTCAGGGTGTAGCCCCTTAAGAAAACCATCTGCTTCGGTTTGGGCACCCGTGTAGTATCTCAGCCCGCACACGAAAGCATGATAAACTCGTCGGTGAGAGCAGTTTTGCTCTATGTTTGTGAAACCTGGCCTCCGAGTTGAGGACGTTAGACAACTCTCTGTGTTCGATCATCGCTGTCTCCGAAGGATTGCTGACATTCAGTGGCAACACCATGTCAGTAATGCAGAGGTTCGGCGTCGTGTGTTCGGGCACAGAGATGATAGTTTAATTGGTGTCACCATCTTGAAACACCGACTTCGGTGGCTTGGACATGTTCTACGAATGCCGTCCCAGAGAATTCCACGTCGTGCATTGTTTGCCGATACTGGGACTAGTTGGAAAAAGCGGAGAGATGGTCAGTGTATGACATGATGTCATGGCATGAAAGGAAGCTGCAAAGGACTGGCTTGTGTTGGTTCTTCACAAATCCCTAGCTAGTGTCCGAGAGATGGTGCAACACAGTGGCTAGAGACGTTATCAGATATGGCTCAGAATAGAAGCCGGTGGCGATGCTGCTGTAACCTTCTTTTACTTTCTTCATTAAAAAAATTGGTTGTATCTTCCTTAACTGAAGGGTTTCTTCTGATTGTACCTTTCCGTTCCCCCATTATTACCACTATTATTATTACTACACAATCTTACACCAATCTCTTCCTTATTGTTCTTTTTTTTTACGCTCCTTACCTTTTCTTCTTTTTCCTTCTCTTTAAATTCTCATTGTTTTGTGTGGCGCATATATATTTAGCGCACTCTTGTCCCAATATGTATGTTTTCAAATAAAAAACTTAAAATGTATATTGATATTGATTTAGTGATGCAACTTGAAGTTGATAGGACATTTCGGTATAATCGACATCCATACGAATTATCCCATTTTTTATTTGTTACATTAGCTTTGATTTTTTTCTATTTTTTCCAGTTAAACATTATCTTCATCATTCTACATGTTTCTTTACTGATCACTTTTTTCGAAATTACTAACTATCATATTTGTGTGTGTGAAGTGGAATACTGTCGCAGAGAGCTAGCTGAAGCTGGTGGTTTCTTTACCAGGATACTCTCCGAGCCCTTGATCTAGAGGTCTGATACACAAGGCGTTGAGGCAAGGTCAGAATGTGCAGTTTCCTGGTAGCTGGTAATCAAAATGGGTTCGCATTTCATTCGTTCTCTCCGAATTCCGGAGCCCATAAATAATTTTATGGTTCGGAATCAGAGTTTCCAGATCCTCCATATCCACCGACCCAATTTTGGTCCTAGGATTTCTCATCCCGTCATTTTCATGAACAACACCCTTGCTGTGTATAGGCAGTAATAAGGACTTCATCCGCAGAAGCTATAGGCACATGGCCGTATGAGAGCATTTCTATCGGTAGAGAGGAATCTCCCAACTGTCGGTCATACTAGGGCATTTGGGGGACTCTAAAGCCCTCCTTGTTCATGTTAATACAAAATTATTATTACCTTGTTTTTATTTTCTTCTGGTAGATAACCTACTTCTTTTAAATGATCCAAAAGTTGATAAGGTCTATCGTATTCTACCAATCGACTTCGAATACTCTGGTTATAATTATCGGTACGTAATTGGTTATACTTTTTTTAAATTTACATTTTCATGTTTTATTGAAATTGTTAAACTTCGAATACATTATGTTAGCCTATTATTATTATTATTATTATTATTATTATTATTATTATTATTATTATTTATTGTTATTATTAATGAGGTTTTATGCCTCAAATTCTTCGTCTGTTTATCTGGAGACGTTTTCATAGTTTGACATATAATATAACATACTCAAAATAAACTATTTATGGTTAGGTTGTTCAAAGAAAACGTTGTCTTAACATACAATTTATGTCGTTCAAATTTTGTTACGTCTGCTGTCGAGATTATGAAAATTTCTAACTCAGGAAGAATTTTTCAGTGAAGTTACATTCTTTGAACTGGATAGTTTAGGTGTGAAGCCTTCATTGTTTTGCTAGAAAATGACATCAAGATATACTTCAAAAAGAAGTGAACTATTGAAATTTTTTCACATCTAACGTATAGTTCATTCTGTCGATATTGAATTCGTCTCTACCTACTACTTATGGATTGATCGTTTGCATCATTGTTTACAATGTTCATCTTAAGGACATGATGACTGACCAGTACGCGAATAGGGATACTATGTAATGCTCAATAAAGCTTTGATTTACAAAAAAGATTTCTTGAGTTACAAAACTTTACTTATCACCAACGTTTACCAAATTTTTGACAGTAATTCACTGACCAGGTTCGGAATAACACGTGTCACCTACCGACTGATTATCACTAAGTCTAGGTAAAGTGATTAATAAAATATATACTTCTGAATGTTTCATTCCAACAGTCCTTTTATCTGATTACAATAAATATATGCGCTTAAATTAACAGGATTTCAGTGCAACCAATCAAAGACCGATCGTTGATACTCCAACTACCTTGTCAGTTGTCTTATTTATAATGAAGTGAAATATAATCCACTCTACTACATTACGTAGCTTTCAAGTACTTAACCAATGTTGTCTGATTTTATTACTGAGCTTATGAACTATTTTGAACCATACACATTTTTATAAATATAAGGGAATAAGTTTACTTAACTAACTTTATAAACATTTTATACTAAATCACCTTACATAACCTGACAACGTGATACTAAAAGTCTAATGCGAAATATCTCAGGAATCGATCTATTTCCAACTGTAACGAGCATATCAGATGTGTAAGGTCTGGATAATGCAAAAAATATTAGGTGTCGAATTGTATGTTGTATGGATTATTGTAGCAATGACATAGTGATTCAGTTGATCTAGCGACTAATCGTAGTGTTGTGTGGAAAGGTTATCGGTTGTCGAATGGACTTAGATCATCCACCTGTTTAATAAGTAGACAAATGGGCCGGGTCACAAGTGTATAAAGAATGAACGTGATTAATTATCTTAACAAGTACGGAGTAATTAGTATGATCAAAAGGATGCATTTTTAGTCAAATGAAATACAATAATTTATTATCATTTCTTGATATTTATCGCTAATAATTTTGACCCAACATTTTACGATTTTCAAAAATCGATTTTCATATCCTGATAATTGAATCGATTAGCTTATTAAATTTCTGTATGTAACGCTTATGACCTATACTTTGCTAAAGAAACTCACATGTCTTCATAATTCTTATGTTTTTTACTATGTCCAACACTGAAAATTATATACCAATCTTAAGAAAATAAACCTCAGACATTGTGATCCGTAAGAATTTTTTGGTTAGTTCATATGTAACCAAATACTACATCATTTACATTAAACATACTTTTGAAGCAACATTTTTAATAATCTTTGAAATCTAAATTGAGGGAATCCAATTGAACATTAAATTCTTCATCTAAATGATTCTTAACCTTGTTTATTTTAGTTCTTGATTATTCCGTGATATTTTTCTCTCAGATGATCCATTTTTTATGTGCCTTTCCTTTTTTAAAGTGCTTTTGATGTTGGGAATCATTTTAATGAGTGGTGTTATGATTACACGAACCCTGATCAACCGTATTATTTTCACAACATTGAAAATTACCCAGATCGTTCAAAACAAGTTAGTTATTTTTGGTTTGCCAGTGTTGTTCAATTATTAATGTATGTTTCCTAAATTGTACTTTTAAAAAAAGGAAAAGTAGTCCCTACCAAATATTAGCACTCTATCTCTTTATTGGTTTATTTTATTTCTGAAACAACTAAGCGTCCCGTTAGACATAATAATAATAATAATAATAATAATAATAATAATAATAATAATAATAATTTATATTCTGAAAAATAATAATTACAGAATTCACGCCAGTTTACAGGCATGATCAATTTGATATAAATAATAACGTTAGACGTGCAGAATAAACATGTGATAAAAGAAAGTTTTAAGTATACTAGATCAGTAATTGTTTATGTAGTACATGTATTACAGCGATCCAATGCATCAGCCGGGAATTTTTAATTTTTCTTAAATGGACAGCCTGTTGATTTATGAACGGTGTAATTAGGGTCATTTCGTGTGCTAGATCGAATTAATGATAATTATCTACAACTAGGGAAATTAAAAGAAAAACAGGGAGCACGGAACAACAAAGCAGTAATTACCAAAATATATCAATCAGGTCTACCTAAATGCGTGTGTCATGTGACACAGTGATATACTGTTTATGTTATTCAAATTAGTTAAAGTTGCTAGGGGCGGTGTTAACATATTGACAGCAAGTGGGTGGTTTTACTAAGGGAATTCACTAATAAAGATGGCTAAACATTTAAGGTTCCTAAAATATCACTTGTGGAATGAGATACACTTGAAGGCGCTAGACTATTCAATGCATTTTCAGAGGAGCAGTATGCATCGATGCAGCGAACAAATAATGGGAGTGATTTTATCGTGCGGATAGATTGTGGTAGGTTATTCCAGAGTCTAGAAAATTTACAGGTGAAGTAATTCATATAAAGAAATGATTTAGAATGAGTTTGTTTCACTAGTGCCAAGGAATTACGGATGTCATAATGAGAGGTTTCTGCATATTGAATCGCGTGATCGGATGTAAACGATAGTTTATGAAGTAGTTTGAAGAAAAAGATAGGATTTAGTTTGAGTCTCCTCCTCCATAAAGGGTCTAGCCCAAGTTTATTACATCTAGAATTATAAGTTAAGGTACAATCAGCTCCAAGAGTACGAAGTGTAAATCGTCTCTGTACTGATTGCAGCCTTAATTTATCTTTTATGAGCGCACTGCTAAGAATAAACGTGCAATATTCTAGAAGAGGTCGAGCACAAACTTTGTACATTAGAATACGTGACTCACTAACGTAAAGGTTTCGAGTTATGTAACCTATTAGACGTTGAGACTTAGAGGTCTGTTTTAATATATGTTCTGTAAACGACAAGTTTTGGGAATATCTAAATCCCAAGTCTACTACTGTATGTAACCTAGATAACACTTCTCCATTTATGGTAATGTCTAGGTTGAGTGATGTATCGCCGAAGCATATCCATCCACATTTAGCCGTATTAAGCTCCAGTTGCCATTTTAAGCACCACTGTGCTACCTTGTTAAGCTCCATACTGATGCAATTTCGCATATTTTTCAGCTCATGTGGAGAAAATGAATATACTACTTTAAGATCATTTGCATATAGAAGGGGCTTACCGACACAAAAACTTTCACAAATATCATTGATAAACACTAAAACGAGCAAAGGACCTAAGACACTACCTTGTATTACACCACTTGTAACAGGGACAGCGTTAGACAATGAAGAGTTAATTTCAACTATTTGATGTCGATTGCTGAGATAGGAATCAAGCCAAGCAAGCAAAGGATTTTGAACCCCATAAGATGCGAGCTTACCTATAAGAAGTTGGTGGCTAACCATGTCAAAGGCTTTAGAAATGTCCAGATATAGCACTAAGACTAGATATCCTTGGCTACGTAGAGAATAGACTAAATTAAAGAAGTCAAAATGACATGTCATGCAAGAACGATTTTTAAGAAATCCATGTTGAGTATCATTGATAAATTTTCCAGCAAGTAAATAGTTGGAAAGTTCATCACTTATAATTTTTTCCAGAATCCTAGAAATAGCTGGAGTAATATTTATTGGCCGGTAATTGTTCATGTCAGTCTTATCTCCAGATTTGTAACGTGGTATGATGTACGCGATTTTCCAACACTAAGGGTAAGAACCGGTTTCCATAGAGAGAGTAAACAGCTTTAGAAGAAGAAGTGGAATATCTGGACCACCATATTTGTAGAGAAATGATGAAATCCCGTCTACTCCATGACCTTTCGAAAGCTTAAGGGTATTTATAGCCTTATTAATTTTCATGCATGTGAAGGAGACAGATTTTATTGAGTTGCTAGTCACGCACATAACTCTTGAAGCATAGCCACTTACGTTTTCTACACCATTCGCGAATATACTACTGAAAAGGTCGGCCATGGTTTTAGAGTCGTATATAAAAGTGCTATTATGCTGGATGCACGGTATATCAACATTTCGAGTTGCTTTAGTGCGTTTATTGAAAAGGAGAGTTAAGTTTTGTACTTTCGAGTTAGTATTAAGGGCTAACAGCTCCTCATTAATGGCTTTTAACCTGTGTTTCTCTTTAATTTGATTAAAAATTATTGTTATTTGTGCAACTGCTGTGAAGTCGTTTGACTTAAAATAACGATTCTGTAGGCGTTTTAGTTTATTACGATACTTAGCTGGTATATATAATTCGTAAGGTTTACTAAACCTGTACGTTTTAAGAACGCACAGGTTTAGTAAACCTTACGTTTTAAGACCTGACCGTTGTTGCTACCTTGACGTGGTGGTCGGACTTGCCTATCGTGATGAATCAACCGAGCTATACTGACTGGAACAACCGTTCCTCAAGGTCCTACCATGTCAGACAGGTCGATTGAGGAGCGGTAAGACTAAAAGCAACAAACCCAAGGTCCGATGGCGAAGTCGTACTGCTGACTGTACAGAGGTGTGACAGCAGTAAGGTGTTTCCTTCAGACAACCAGCATGACAGCGATGCTGCCTTCCCACAAGGAGGGGTGGGGTTAGAAAAGGTCGACCCTAAAAATGCACACCTCACCTTATCCCACGGATATCCGTCTCCGGCTGTAAGGTCTCAATAAGTACGGAGCTAACACAAAAATTACCCATAACAAGGCCGTGTGTGACCGACCTCAAGCAGTTGTCCCTTGGGCACTGCGGTCACGCTCTCAGGTCACTGAGACCACCTCTAATCCAATTTCCTTTTCAGGTACCTCCAGAACAACCCTTCCACGTTGTGGGCAACCGGGAAGCGATAACCGCCTTCATACCCCTAACAGCACTCAAGACCACTGTATTCATAATCAACCTCCCTCTTCAATTCCTATTATTCCTCCTACATCGACTTTCCACTCTAAACTTCCTCTTTCGGCTTCCACCTCAAGTGTCACTATAGCCAACGATTCTAGTGCGCAAAACACTGTCCCAGGTCTACTGAAACCTCGCTCCAAACTACACATTGGAGCTTTCAACGTACGCACCCTATGTCAAATCGGTCAGCAGGCTTCCTTGGCTAAAACCCTAACGTCTCTTACCATTGACGTGTACTGTGTCTCCGAAACACGCATACAGGATTCCAGTGTGGTTATTCACTTGACCTCGCCTCGGCAAAACGGAGAGCCAACGAGATACACCCTTCGTGTATCTGGTGACCCGATGGCAAGTTCTCGTGGACTGGCAGGTGTAGGCATAGCACTAAGCATGAGGGCGGAACAAGCACTGCTAGAGTGGATCCCCGTCAACAGTCATCTATGTGTTGTTCGGCTGAACGGCTACGTAAGAACTCAGAAGGATAGGGACACACGTCGTTGCCTTTTTGTCGTTTCTGCCTACGCTACCACTGACTGCAGCTCAGATGATATGAAAGATGAATTTTACAGAAAGCTAAACGCTCAGACATAGTACTCGTAGCAGGTGATTTTAATGCTCAGATAGGCAGTTTAAACCAAACAGAAAGGCATTTAGGTGGAAATTTTAATATTCCGACACAGCGAACAGATAATGGTGATCGTCTGCTGCAGCTATGCTCAGACAATCGTTTATTTTTAGCAAACACAAATCTTAAGCATAAGGAGAGACATCGTCTAACATGGCGACCCCTTACACCAAACCAACGATGGACTCAAATAGACCATATTGCCATCAGTCATCGTTGGAGAGGGTCGGTAGAAGATTGTCGCTCATTCTGGAGTACCTGCTTGGACTCCGACCACGCCCTAATACGGGCACGCATCTGCTTGCGCCTCACTGGACGCAAAAAAGACCCATTAGAACCGAACTGAGTAGCGAGGAAACCAAAAGTAGGTTCCAGGAACAACTGAGGTCACACTTAGGTAGTCGTGAAGACGAGTCTGACCCAGATGTTGCTTGGAAGGGCATACAATCAGCTGTGGAAACAGCAGTGACATCTATCAGTGATTTAAACCGCAGGGTTACAAAGAACCAGTGGATTTCTTCAAAGTCTATCACACTGATGGATTCTCGCAAACTCGTCCCATCAGGTTCTGAACATGATGAAGAGCGTAAACAAATCACATCTAGGTTAAGAAAAAGTCTAAGGAACGACCGTGAGCAGTGGTGGGCAATGAAAGCTAAAGAAATGGAAAAGGCGGCGACTATAGGGAACACAAGACAGCTTTACAGACTAATAAAAGAAACTGGAATTAATAAGTCAAGTGTAAGTCAAACTATTTCGGAAAAAGACGACACCCTCATCTGCTGTCAGTCCAGACGTTTAGAGCGATGGGCGGAACATTTTAGAGAACAGTTCAGCTGGCCTTCAGCTACTCTACAACTACCCTCCATTCCCAGACAATGTGAATGTAACATTGAAGTAGGTCCCCCAACTCTTGCTGAAGTTCAAAAGATTATAGTTAATCTGAAACGAGGAAGGGCAGCTGGTCCAGATGGATTGGCTCCAGAGGTCTTTAAGGATGGTGGCCCAATTTTAGCGATTAGGTTGACTAATATTTTAGCTAAGATCTGGGAATTAGACTTTATCCCATCTGACTGGTCACAATCACTTATCGTCCCAATATATAAGAAAGGGTCAAAATCATCCTGTGACAACCACAGAGGGATTAGTTTAACAAACATAGTATCTAAAATACTGGCCTCGATAATAATCAAACGCCTAACTAAGACTCGTGAACTACAAACTCGAGAGAACCAAGCTGGCTTTAGACCTGGTCGTGGCTGCACCGACCACATATTCACCATTCGTCAGATTCTAGAACACAGGCATACCTATCGGCGTCCGACAATGGTGGTCTTTCTTGACTTAAAAGCAGCATTTGACTCGGTAGACCGCGAGATTCTGTGGCAGTGTCTGTCATTGAAAGGCGTACCTCAGAAGTACATAAACCTTGTGAAGGCTCTTTACTCGAACACTACTAGTCGAGTCAGGGCTTATGGCGAACTGTCATCTACTTTTGCAACCTCAAGTGGTGTCCGTCAAGGCTGCCCACTTTCTCCATTTTTGTTTAACTTCATCATAGACATACTGATGGAAATAACATTCTCGTCGGCTGAATTCTCGGGTATTGATCTCCATCCAGGAGGTTCACTTATCGACTTAGAATAGGCAGATGATATAGTCCTGTTTGGTACAGACGCTGATAAGATGCAGAGTCTTTTGGAAGCACTGAGCAACAATGCCAGAATGTTTGGGATGCGCTTCTCTCCCTCTAAATGCAAGTTGTTGCTTCAGGACGGGTCTGCGTCAACACCTGAACTAAGGATAGGGAGTGTAGTAGTCGAACGCGTTGACAACTTCACTTATCTTGGAAGTCTGATCAGCCCTAATGGGTTGGTGTCTGACGAAATCTCAGCACGGATTCGAAAAGCTCGTTTGGCTTTTGCCAACTTACGTCACCTTTGGCGATGGCGAGATATCCGTCTATCAATAAAAGGACGAGTATACTACGCGGCAGTTCGTTCTGTTTTAATTTACGGCAGCGAAACATGGCCCTTAAGAGTAGAAGACATCCGTAAGCTACTAGTATTTGACCACAGATGCATTAGAAATATTGCTGGGATCACCGGGTAAGTAATAGTGAGGTTAGACGCAGGGTATTAGGGAATGATGGTAAATCAGTTGATGAGGTTTTGAATCTTCATCGACTGAGATGGTTGGGCCACGTGTTACGTATGCCTGAACACCGATTACTACGACGTGCAATGCTAACCGGTGTAGGGGACGGTTGGAAGAAAGTTAGGGACGGCCAAACCAAAACATGGCATCAGTGCCTGAAGTCACTAACTTCTAGTCTGAGCCATGTTGGTAGATGCAGACTACTTGATTGGGGTCCGCGTGACTTTCGTAACCAATGGTTGGAGACTCTTGGTGACATGGCTCAGAATCGATCACAATGGCGTCGGGGTATACACTCCCTGTCTTCCCTTAAACTAAGAGATTAAAATCACTTCATATCTTTCTTTCTACGAACTAATTCTTTCTTCCTATACTATTTCCTTATTGCAATCTTTCTCCTATATATTACCACCTTTGACCTAACCACTCCTATGAATCCGCTGTTCATCATGCTGTGCTAATGAGGTATGGCAACCTGGACCGATGCACATATGTGCCTGGTCCTACGTTGTAACTGACTGACGTTTTAAGAGGTACACTGGAATCTAAACAAGAGTTAATGATCAGATAGAATTCGTTGATAGCATCCATGAAACTATTACATGAAAAAAAAGTTATCCCAGTCTGAAAGTTTAATCAATGAATGCAGGAGGTCCCAGTCAGCATGCTTATAGTCTCTATATTGACAGGTTTTTTGAATGGGAGGGTTATAAGAGAGATAGATAGGGAGAACGCAAACTACTATCTTATGGTCACTGCTTTCAAATTCATTATATACTTTTACAGATAGTGGGATAACATATCTACTAAATATTAGATCGAGTATATGTATGGAAAAATCACAATGATGTAAGCTATCTGTGAGGTGGAATATCATTTTCCCATGGTAACTTTTTTCTATGGTTCTGAATGTTGTTAGACTTAAAAGAGTTCAAAAAAGGCTACTGATGAATACAAATATGTGTGAACATTTAGACTGAGTTTTTCACCTATGTATCTGATTTTTATATAGTAAACAACTAAGAGATGTCGGTATTCGATAAAATTCGATCAATATTAAAGACTACTCAATATCAATTTATCACTGCTCAGTAATCAATCATTAAATGTATCAGTAATTCATTTTATAGAAAACTGAAATTGAGATGGGAACTAGACAGGTATCCTCTATGGCAGTGAGTGATAATAGCGCAATATATTCAGTTTTTAGCATACTATCTAAAACAAAACATGTACTTTGTAAAGTATGATAGTGTTGGGCTCTATCTCTGTTAGGTTCATCGTTACGTACGGCTAAACAATATCATACTAAAACAAAACAGCTTTACAATAAATGGTTACGCGATTTTCTAGATAAATCTAGTCCATAATGTAAACCATCGTTTCAAAAAAATATTGTCGGAAGCTTTCAATTAAGACGTTTTTTAGAACTTATATTCTCACTTTGTTAACAATAAAACTAACATTGATCGGCCCATAATCTCAACAAAAATTCAACAATCTCTACAACTCTATACTCATCGCCATCATGGGTTCACTAGTGACTACCTTCAAGCGGTGATTCTCGGAGTTCTATTGAGAAGTCGTGACCAGTATAGTCCAATCGTGTCTAGTTTGAGGCAGTTATCCACCGAAGAAAATTGAAAATGGTCGCACAATATAGTGGATTGATTTAAATTAGACACTAATACCTTTGGATGCCGGCTCTGTGGTCTAATGGTTAACCGTTCACGCGTGATCGAATGTCCTGGGTACGATCCCTGCGCATTGCGGAGGAGTGCCATACTTGAACGACACGAACATCTAGTGCTCCCAGGTTTCCAGTGGTGGTCTAACATTGATCGGTTCATGATCTCAATATAAATAAACAAATACCATTGATTTTTCTAATCTGATGCATTTATTTGTGCACCACTTATTGTTAAATGTAATTTATGGTGTCACTTTGGATGAGTCATAACTTAAAGAATTTATTACAGTTGGAAATATTTTTCTCTATGGTATCTCGACTTGTAAAATTGTGACAGAATGTTTCTTTGGATTACTAACCCAACATCTAATGTTATTGATTTATATGTATGGTATTAATAAGTGATAAATCCAATAGAATGTAAATGTTAACACGGTGTTTATTGTTTAGATACTGCTTAATGTAGTATGTGAATAATCGGAATATGATTGATATATAGTGTATATGTAGTAGCATTCTTTCTATGCTAGAATATTTATTGTATTAATAATTATAATCTCATAATAACCATGGATCAGCTTTTTTTTCAACATAATCTCATTGAATAGTCCAGTACAGTTTGTATTTAGTAATAACACACAAGTTATACTGTGTGATTTAACTGATGAATTCCAAATGATTTATCATTACTTTCTTAAATAGAGTTCGTTTAGTTATTGACTAGAGTTAAACACTTTCGTATAACATTTTCGAAAAAAGTATATGCATATATTTCTGTCTGATTTCATTAAATCAATTGTTTTTTTAAACGTATTTATATAGAGGCTTTTTTGGAAAGCATATCTAACTGAATCTTATTCAAATGTAGAAAATGATCATTTTAATAAAAGAAATGGTAATTTCAATTGTGTTGATAATTATGAACATAATAATAATAATAATGTTGTTCGATTTGCTAATCATCATGAAGAGGATTGTGATTACGAAAATTTATGGATTGAAACAATCTATGGTTCATTATTATCACATTTATTTTGGTCTGCATGGTCACTTGTTCAAAGTCAATTATCAAGTATTCAGTTTGATTTTATGGTATGTATATTTTACCATGTAAATAATGAAAGTGTATTCTCAGAAGGGGTTTGTGGAGATTTTAGAAGTTTCACGGATTGAAATCATGAGACAATTGAAGCTAGACCACCATGGAAAACTTGGAAGCACTGGACGGCCGTTTCGTCGTTGTAGTACTCCTGGAGTTCTAGTGAGAAGTCGTTACCAGTGGAGTTCAACCAGGTCTGTTGTGAGATATCAGTTCACTGAAGACAATGGTGTTCGGTGGCGCAACTTCGTGGATTGGTTGAAGTTAGACATTAACACCGTTGGATGCCGGCTCAGTGGTCTAGTGGTTAGGTGCTCGTGCGCGAAACCAGTAGGTCCTTGGTTCGAATCCCGCTGGGTGCGGGATCGTGGATCCGCACTGCTGGGGCGTCCCACACCAGGACGAAACGGCCGTCCAGTGATTCCAGGTTTTCCATGGTGATCTAGCTTCAATTGACTCATGATTTCAATCTGTGAAATTCCTTGAATTATAAGATAATTTATTGTCCTGTATATAAGAGGCAGAGATTAGTCATATCAAGAATATGAGATGGTAGATGCTGTACATTTTCAGGTGATTAGTCATTGTTACATTTGATAATTCGTATTGAATGAAGCACACTTTATGTTAAGTATCATTGTTATACTTTTGGTGCTATGTAATGGGAATCAATCATTTGATTATTCACTGAACAACTTAGTTGTAAGTATCAGTCTGTTTTTGTGTTTAATTTTTAGCTAGTTAGCCTTCTAATTTAATGGTTTTATCAACTTGGCTCTTAAGATAGTAAGTTGTCTACTCACAATTATTCAACAGTTCTGGTGTGAATTGTCTTTACTAGTTTAATCAAATTCTTTCAGTATCTTTTAGGAGTACGTTGTTTATGCATATGTTCATATCTGAGATAGCGCTAACTCGTAAGAATATTTATTTGGACGAGAATAATAACGGCATTGGTAAGAAAATATTTGTCATTTGTGATATGGTTCAAAACAGTTACCTCTCTATTTCGTCAATCAAATTCGACTTAAGGTGAAATACAAAACTGTTGGAGTATTTGAACTCCGTAAACTACTTTCTATTTGCTATATTTGGAATTTTGTCTTTGTGCCAAAATTCTTTACAGCAGCCATCTATCGGTTTTACTAAGAGCAAAGATGCTTTTTCTCTGTTGGTTCGTTATTCTGGTATTATACTAATCATTCACCTCACTCTCATAGATATTAACTATTTTCATACAGGGATGTCTATTTCTGTAATTATATTTCTTTATTACCATACACTAAATCTTCAGGACACAATTTGTCATATGGATTTCTCCGACCTTAGTGAGAAAAATTCAATTGAACTAACTAGTTACTCACTATAATGATAAGCTGTAACCGAAACGCTATCAGTGTACTTCAGTCACTGAGTATTGTTTTTCAGCTATTGTTTAAAATGTCAACCCTTTTTATCTGATAAAACATTCTATCTTATTGACCAGACTGTTATCTGAATTAATTTTGACTAAGTAGATCTATTCATTTTTTTACGTCGACGATAACCAATAGAAGCCTTGAGTTATAATCAGATTTGAAATGTTCTGTTGAGCGTTTTGGGAACTTCAAAATATATGTTGTTACATGATTTGAGACATCACATTATGGTATTGGGGAATCGAATTCTGAATGTAACGGTTCTCACTTGAAAAATACGTATTAAACTGTAATACATTATGTACGTATTATTATGCAAATTTTCCAATTCACTTTTGCAAATAGTCAATGACAAAACGGCGAACAAAATAATCTCCTCTTTGAGATAGAGGGCTTCCATACAATACATGATTATCCTTCTAATTATTGAAATATTCTAATCTGTTTTTATATTTATTGTTTCTTTTTTAGGATTATGCTAAAGTTCGTATGAAACATTATCATCTCATGAAATCTTGGTTACCACGCGAACATTTGTGAAGGAAACGCACATATCCGAATTTTTACTCATTTGTTTGTTTCTTTTTTTATCACAGGAAATAGATAACCATTTGTTTAGTATAATTTCTAGGATAAAACAAATTAATTATTCACATGATAACAATGATGATCGTAACTTTCAACTAATTTATCACTTAATTTGTGCTTTTTGTGTACATTTGTTAGTGTTTTACTAAAAAAAAAACCAGGTTTGTTGCATATATGTCTACACGTTTGCTACCGTATTACACATCACCCGGTTAGTAGTATTTCGAAAAAAAGACCACAATCTGTGATATTAATGAGCAAATTATTATTATTTTTGTTAGAACAAAGTTGATAACTTAAATCTTTATTCTTGAGTAGCGTTTTCATGCTTTTCTTACCTTTAATATCCTTTATTTCTTTTCTAGCCTTCCAATTTACACTTGTAATTATCACTTTAAATTGTTAATCATATATTTTTGTCTGTTTGCTTGTTTATTATTTTGTTTCTATTTATTTCAGTTGTTTCCTTCGTACTGTTATTTACTAACAAATTCTACTATTTTTGATAGATCAACTTATTTACAGACAAATATTTCCAGTGCTTTAAAAACAACGATATATACTTTTCGATTGTTAACTTATGGATTTTCGTAATACTGAATAATTCTGTCTTCATTTGATATACATATTAGAATACTTAAACTGATTTTAATCCTAAGAATGTGTAATTGACTAATTCTCCAAATTGATAAAAGACACCAAACTGTTGATTAGATAAGTACATTTATAAAACATATCAGGTATAATAATTGATAAATCAATTGGTGTTAACCGTTGTTGATGTAATCATAAGTGTAGAATCCCAATTAAAGTTACTTTACAACTCCAAAATGTTATTGTTGAGAAATCTCTCTCTCTCTCTGTTCTCTATTATGATATTCCACTGCAATCAGACTAAATGTCCCAGTATTTTTGTTCAAACAAATATTATCCATCTTTGCTTATAATGTTTGTAAATTAAGGCAATATCGAGGCATACGCACAGTATGCACATATGCCAATAAGAGACTAATCAATTTCGATCCTAAAACATCAATGGAAAGTTTCAAGTTAAACAATACCAAGTGAATTAAATATTATCTATGTCTAATATTTACTGATTTGAAAAATTGTACTAACTTGCTTACATCTGAATGGCTCGTTTATAATTTTTGTGTATTTAATTACTTACACAATTACACTTTCCCATAAAATGTAAATGACGAATTAATCAAAACTGCTCTTCATCTGCTAAGTGATGCAGTATAAATAGTTTTAGATATATTGGTACAAATATGTTATAAATCACCAGTTTCTTTTTCTAATTACTACCTAATAAAGTCAGTCATTAATTAATAATGTATTATATTAGTATTGACAAATAATAATTTGTTTTTTATAAGTGAACAGCATTATTACGATCGACCACTAATTTTATTAGCCTGACCATATTCTATTTTGAATCGACTTGAACGAAAGAAACATACTAATTAATTAAAATAATACATAAGTTTGCACACTGTTCTCTGCTTTACATTTATTAAAAAAATCTTTTGTTCAATATAGGATGTATTAAGTTTGGACTTTTAGAACTATCTTTGTTCAATGATTTACTATAATGCACTAAATAGAGACGTGCAGAATTCGGAATTTGTCTTATAATATACTTCATAATTTTTGCATCTACCAACAATCAGTCACACAGTATTGATCTTTGAGATGAATAGTAATCCTTAAAAAAAATGTCGTTGGAGTATATTTGAATCTTGTTTGTCACTTTCGATAGAGTTTACACTCGATTATCAATAATCTGTTTCTTGATAATGGGATGTGTCTTCATAACTCTATAACTTTGTGAGAGGTAGTTCATTAAAAAAAATATACTGACGTGATGTTGACAACTAACAAAACAATTTACTTTTATATTATCTAAAAATCCATCTATTTTTATTTGCGTGTTTACTGCTCTGATTACTTGCTACAGAAGCCTTTTCAACCTACATAAACAGATTTTTGCGGACTGGTTTTATAAATAATACTCACATCTCAAATGATTATTCATTATCAAGGTGTCACTCAGTAGTTTACATTTCCAATTCAGTTTGCTCATGATGTTGGATAACCATCATCCATTTTTATTGATAATACCTTTCTGATTTCCAACGTAGCAAAACTACACCGACTTCATTAGAATTCCAGGAATTCTTGTAAATACATTTTACAATGATAAGAGATTATAAACCACTAAATTACGGAAATAACTTGTCATAAGTATAGTTTATCTTAATTTTATTTAGTATATTATCGTGCTTCCGATGTATGTTAGATGGATTTGACTATAACTACTGACTTTGTGTTGACTACTAAGTATACACACATGCATTAACATACTTTTGTACCAGTAATTTCCCGGTCGTTCACGTGATGTTCTTAATTACTCGATCTGCTAAGATTAAATTGTGGTCACAATTTAAATAATAACAAACCTGTGGATGGTGTGAAATTCTTTGACAGTATCAATGGCGTTGAATTAATGACTAAAACTACTCTATCTGCTTACAAACAAACAGTTAAAATTCATCACTTTACTTGAGAACAGTTCACCACTTGAAAGAAATTTACAAAATCAATATATGTTTCAAATTCAGTGGAGTAACCGTTGCTCATTAAGTCTCTTTGATTTCAAATTTGGAATTAATAAATTAGTGTTACGCTATGATATTTTTATGAATTTTCATTATATCCACAGGAATAATACGTACTAGATACACATGAATAAAGTTCATACGAGCCATTGAATATTTTCCAACTCCTCATTGGGAAACTTTCATACTGATATTGTAATGGGCCAAAGTGTGTAATAAATATCGAGATGATAAGTATAGGATGGAGTAATATCATGTATTTTTATCTATTTAGAGGCATGTACAAGTTTTACATTGCCTCATATTACTTGTTACTATTAATACTTTACACTAAAGACGACGAAAATATGATATGGCGAAAGTAACAATAAGCAAATCAAGAATGTTGAAATAGTAATTAGGTTGTTAATATAGTGCAGTACGTTTTTTTCGTGAACTGCTTAGACAGCGTAATAATAAATAACCGTTAAGTTGTTGAAACAATAGGAATCTGTTATCTTGTCTACTTTCTATCCTAGTGAAATTGAACAGACTACTAAATGGATACAGCCCTGACGTTTACACCAGCTTATCTTGGTATCAGTATCAAACATTTGACTAAAACTGTCGACTATTCTTTTATTCAAATGTAGACAATGATCTGATCATATATACGAAATTTTAAAAGCACTGTTTGTAGTGCTTATTTTACTCATCTCTATATATTATTGACTAGTCCGTACTATTTTTGTCTCCCACGACATTTGATCATGACCAGAATTGCCAAATTTAGAGCATGTGACCAGCGATGTTATTGACAGACGATTCCAAAGACAACCATAATGTAGTCTGACTACTCTATTATGAACCAGACAGTATGTAGACCTAGAATGTAATATAATAACAGAAAATAAGAAACTTATCAATTTCATTGTTAAAACTTTCAGAAGTATACCTTCGAATTCAGTTGACGATAGGCTCTATTGATAGCAAATAATACTCGTTAAGCAGAGGTAAATACCATAAATCAGTAGCTCTGTAGATAGCACTCTATCACTTGAGAAATGGATGTTGATTTTGGCTGAATGTTAGGAATACTTAATACTCACTACTACATAGTTTTATCAAACTTGATAATTTAAACAAGGTCGAATAAATATTACGGATTCAACCTCAAAAACTTATTATAACGAAGTTTGAAAACTGCACAAGCTCTTCCATGCACTGACATTTAAAAATAATCATCATTACAGTCATATAGCTTAAAATTTGGAAATTGTTACTTTCTTTGTAATTTGAAATAAGATATTGTCGTCAATAGTTACTTGGTTTAATATTAAAATATGGGTCGATTAAAGTTCGACATTAACACAGTTGGATGCCAGCTCTGTGATCTAAAGGTGAAGCATTCGCGCGCGAGATCGAAGGTCCCGGGTTCGAGTTCCGCATGAGGGATCGTGGATGCACACTGCTGTGAAGTCCCATACTAGGAAGAAACAGCCATTTAGTGTTTCCAGGTCTTCAGTGCTGGTTTATCTTAGACAGACTTGTGAATCCGACTGCTAAAAGTTACAATTTTTGCAAACCCCCCTACTGTTAAAATGTATCTGTTTTTAATGCGTGTTACCACTGATGAAATCAGATTATAACTTATTTAAATGATTGTTTGTCATAAATTTAGTTAAGACGCAACAATCGTTATGGAATAAAACATGATTAGCGAATAATTCCAATAAAAGTAATTAGCGTCATTTTAATTTAATAGTGAAAATCAGCAGGATTTTGTAGCATTATGCAACTACAAGATTGATTAATTTGTCTCAATATATAGTAAACTTATCTAAAATAGTTTCGCATAACTTCAATCTAAAATAATTTTATTACACGTTCTTTAGAAGTAATTGAAATGCTTGTAGTGACTCACGTTTATCACGAGAACACGACTGGTCTAATAAAAACAATTATTATTATAACCAACTGTACCAGTGTTTGTTTTAATGTGCTTTTGTTTGACTGTGCTAATGACAGCTATTTTGTGCTTCCATTCTTTCGCTTACACTTTGATTGTAACTTCGCGCGAATTCGGTTACGTTTTGTAACCAAGCTTGTATCCTGGCACGATCTCGGTATCATTTCGATGCCACGAGATTGCCAGCAAATATAACTCGACTTGGTCCATTAACTGCCTTCTGGTATTTGGCTTCTCGGGGATTTCATGGGTTTCTTTGGTTACGTCCAACCTTCGCCTTCTGATCTATATGGCACGTGTTTCTTGGTAGCGGTGTTCATAGTTAATCTCAACTTGACGCCACGCTACATGCTTGCCATTGGATTCCACTTGTTTCCAAATTTAGAAATGATTTTCTAAATTCTAAGCAATGTGAAACTGCTCTGGAAAGTTTTACTATTTATTCAGACGAATCGTGACGATTTCACACTTTGGTAGCATTTATATTTTAATCACCATTTTATTGTTTTTGTCTCTCATACTTAAAATTCATAATCATAATATTTCAACACTGGACAAAGTACGTTGAAGAATGAAGAGCTCACACAGAATTTCGATAAAATTGTGATTGATATTTGAACCTCATCAGAAGTAAGACATGTATCATCAATGTTATTTTATGTCATAATTTAATTGAAGCAGACTTCCAGTAGTCTACTACTAAATTGCTGTCGCTGAAACCGACTGATATTTTGCTCGGATTCTGGTATGGTCGTCAATGAGCACTTCCTAAAAATCCTCAACTGGGGTTAAACACTTATATAAGTTTCATTGCTTATCACTTATTTTTCAGTTGCTGTCGATCTCTGCTGAACTATATGTCCAAACAGATCTAGTTAAAGAAACCTACCAAAATAATGAGCAACACAAAATTGCTGCCGCGCGCTATCTAAAAAGGACAGTGGTATTGTTTCTCGTTAAATTTTTAAACTGTTTTGATCGTAAATTACGTATCAAAACTACGATTTACACTTTAATTGAATCTACTCCAGTTAAGGTGACTATTTACTGAGTTTTTTTGGCTTTTGTGTATTTATTACATTCAAAAGCATTCTTGGTCTGTATCAATTGATACTTTAAAGTACATTAGTTAAGGTTTGACATCTTGCTAGAGTTTGTCTTGTGGTTCATACTGTGATCATATTGTGTATTACACCTTAATCAGACTAAAATGGTTGGTAGTACCCACAAATGTGGACAACCAAACTGTTTGTTCCCTGTGGAAGAGGGAATGCAGTGTGACAAATGCAATAAATGGTTCCACAAAATGTGCACCTGTTTAAGTCCCACTGCATATAAAAGATGTTCGAAGCCTAACTCACATTAGCTTTGCATGTTTTGCTGTGCCAACAAGGCATTGCTAATACAGGAGGCTATGAGCCTATTGGCTTTGGCCTGTAAGAAGAATGATGGCATATGCGCCGACAACACGGGCACTGACAGTGACGAATGTGTCAGTGTTGTTACGCGACGCCTCAAAAAACCGACTCTGACCGACGTAAAAGTGAAATCTTCGTTGGTATTACCAAGGGGAGTAGTACCACCTAGTACTGACATTGTTAATAATGCACCTTTAGTGGGAACCGTAGATCTGGATAAAACAGTCACCGTTCCAAATATTCCCAGTGTTGTGAGGGATGAAAAATGGACTACGGTACGTAGGAAACGAAACGAAAAGAAAAAAGCTGTAAGCAGTACACAGGCAGTTAGTAACTCACTGGTGGACTCAAATTGTGAGCCACAAATTGCAATACCAAGATCTGATCGTAAGAGTGAAACCCATCCTGGCGTAACTGAGAAGAAAAATATAATAACATCGAATATTATTGTGAGCAAACTGCGGGAGTCAAATGACCCTGATCCGAAAATTAGACACGCGCATGACTTAGAAAAGCTAGGAGAATACATTCGTAGTATTTTACC